CAGTTGCAACTTTACCTCTCTAGACAGATGATCACACTTTAAAAGTTCAGTTTGGCCTCTTCCTTGTAACAAGCTGAACTCTCCCCAAACCACCCATTTCTGCTGATTTTCTGCGGTCTACAGTACCCCATTTACAGTAAACCCCAAAAATCAAATAGTTGAAACAAGATGTGACCTTTTTGCTGTCTTTAAATCTGACCTAGAAGCGCACAGGTGAAAATTCAATACACTGCTCCCTAATGGAACTGGTGTGGCCTGTTTATCCTGCAGAAAATAGTTAAGTCCATCATTTGTAATCGGAAACCCATTAAGGGTGGGATATGATATTTTCCAAATTGATACAGCAACGCAAATTAAAATGAGGTAACTGCTACTCAGAAAGGACTTGGCCATCGCCATGGATTAGTTTCTCCTTTAAACTTCATTTAAATGAGAAATGAGAAGAGAATCCCCTACTAACATCAGGCCAAAGATGATGAAGCATCAGTCCTAAGCTGCAGCACTCATTTAAGGAATTTTCCATTTACATAAGGAATTTCTGACTAAYTCCTGTCACTGAGCTAGCATACGGCAAAAAGTATCAAGATTTATGGCTCTTAAAACAAGAGAAAAATGATGCAATCTAAACATGTGATATATGTTTATGTATGTCTATGTCATATATGTCTATGTCATATGTCTATATGTTGTACATGTTAAAAAAAAATCTTTGGGGTTTTCYGTCCTATACCATCTTACTACTGCAAGAATTTCAAAGTCCTGAGGGACAGAGGGAGAGCCGAGGGGCTTTGGCACTGGTTTAAGAAGCAGAATTTACTTCCCTGCTCTGCTCTGCACGGCCCCAGGCTAATCTCAGTGGCCATCTGCACAGGGCGAGCGATAACAGTGTTTCCCTGTCTCACACAGTCAATACAAGGTTGTCCTCAAACCCATGACTCATTAGTCTTGTGAGGAGCCTGAAATGTGTTTCAGCTACCCAAAAGTAGGTGACTTTCCCAGCTTTTCATTCCCTGTGTTAAGCAAGGAAATGGAGCAGGCCCTTACCCACCTACCTGGCATCCGCACCCTTCTCACCTGCTCTTACCGAAATGTCCTGCAYGTAGTTCCACCTGCGTCCCACCATCCCTAATAAAGTTATTGCCAAGGATGAGGAATAATAATAAAATATGCTTTTTGCAATGAAAMACAGAAGGCTCATCAAGTGGAACGAATTATGCAGATCAAGAGGGGTCACCACGAGCAAGATGCAATCAAAGACACAACTGCACCTCCTCACGACTAGATAGCAACTACGTGCAGCAGCCCATATGCTGCTTGAGCAGGTGACTGCCTAAGCTACAACCAGAGCTTAAGCACCCTTCTGTATTGGAAGAAGCACGAACTCTCCTTGGAGAAACAAATTAAATCAAAGGTAGCCGTAACAAAGCAATTCTCACTCACAGTGACACACATCAAAATTGGAACAAAATAGCCTTTTTATTATTATAAAGACTCTGATCTTCATCCATACCATTTTCCTTTTGATGGGCTTTGAATGTAACGTTTTGTGATTAATGCCAAATATTAGTAGCATTAAATGGTGGCAAGTAAAAAAACACCMTATTGTGTGTGCTGACTTTGTTGCTACTTCTCTATCAAACCACCTGCTTTGGGAGGGTTAACCTCTGCAGCTCCTTCATAATTTGCCTCATGAAGGATTAATGACTTCTTCTAGCAAACTCATGCAGCAATAGGGGAAAATATCCTTGGATTGCTAGCTGCTATCTCATCTTTTGACTTGAGGCTGCACTGACAAACACACACTGCRAGAGCAGAACTCATCACCGGGGACAAAGGAGCCAAAGGGCTGAAATTAGAAAAGGCAGTTTGGCTGCTGTCGTTTCAAGTGGAAGTATTATGGATAAATGCTTTGAATTATGTCATGTAGGGCAAATGGCACTGCAGTTTGTAAGACTTTACTGTGCCATCAAACGTCAGCACAAATTACACTGTAGGACAGCAAGCTGAATGTCAAGAAAGCAAAGCTTCTCCCCAAGCCAAGAAAGTGCTTCCATTTTTGAGTCAATTTGTAGCAAATTGCTCTTATTCAAATCAAAACGAGCGCACAGGGAGTTCTGCAACGATATGGACAATTCTTGAGATCCTTCCCTACTTTCTGAGGGATGAAGCGCTCTGCTTCTCAAAACATCACCTTAAAATACAATCGCTTCAGGGCTACAGAGTTGCATATAGAAATGGCTGCTTGCAAGTGCTCATACCATGCTAAGGAGAAATGTCTCGGGGTCCTTTATATTCCTGGCTGTGCTGTGCCCATCTATTCTTTCCTGCCTCTCAGGCTGCACGCTCTTTGCAGAAGGGAGCATTTGTGATTGATGCCTGCTCTGGCGCAGCGCCTTGCACAACTGTGGCTAGGCAGTGCCTGCGGTCCCTCCACGATGCTAATAAAAGTGAGTGATAGCAACAGCAAACTCATTGCATCCAAAAGTAGAGGGCAAAGTTGGAGCCAAAAATCAAGCTGTTCTATTAACTGTAGGAAGGGATCTTTCACTGAACTGTGTGAAGGCCTCAGCAAAAGGAGCTGGCTTTGGTTCAGCTATTCTGATGTTCGAAAATAAAGTTTTCAGACAAATAAATGATGAGCGCTTCAATAACCAGAACAAACAYGTCTTTGCATTCCCCAGAAAAAAAAAGATACAAAAGTATTTTGATAAGATGAAGGATATTTTTTGTTCATTAGCTTTGAAGCTTTTTGAGTACATGATCTAGTCCATGCAATTCAAACTACTCTTYCAAAAAACAACCTTCCTTTGAAACTGTAAAATCTCTGAAACAAATCAACAGAAGCTATACAGGTGTCACKTATCATCTGAATACATGTAGTAGGTATCAGCCAGGTTACCTGTTCTTTCACTCCCTGAACTATTTCTGCACTTAAAAATACCTGGAAGACTAYGAGTAGCAATGCCTACATAAAAACAACAATACGAAAGTTCAGGGACACAGGGYATGGCTTTGATCTAAAACATTATTACCGACATTTATTTATTCTGTCCCACGGCCACAGGCTACCACTGCCACAGCAGAGCTGCAGAAGTGGAGCATGTGTCTCTGTCACTTTGCTTTAAAGTGCTGAGAGTGAGTGGCACTGGAACAGCAGCGTCGCTGCGTTGCAGTGGAGACACACATTTCACTGCCAACGGATACGACTACAGATCCAGCTACCTACGGCACAGAGACATTCGAAACACGTGCATTTTTCCCTAATCACCAGTCCTTTTCAAAGAAGAATCAGTTTAGTTGTTACATGTCTGCCATCCTGACTTGTGATCTCAGTGGCTGATCTTGAGCTACACCCACGGAAGATGAATTTCCCCTCCATGAGTTCACCTTCCCTTCCCAGAACGGCTGCTGCAGGAACATCAAAGCTATTTGGAAGAATTAATTGTCACACAAGGAGAGCCGGACACTTTGACCAAGACTAGGTTCATCCCAGCATTAGGCACAGCATAAACTCTGTGAAGTTCCTCTTCAGAACTTCAGTTCATGATCAAAATAGACAAGGTAGGATTTTTGCACATGCATGCCAAGGTCCCCAATTATAACAGGAATTTGCAGTAGAGCTGGGGACTCCACTTTTATTAAGCGTAAGGGTGTTCAAAATGAGAAAGTGTAGACCAGGGCAATCCACCTGCTGAACCAATGTTGGGTAGTAATATAGACTCTGTTGGAGCACTTCYGTGTGCGGATACCAAATGCTACACAAGCATCTGGAGGAAAAAAGCAAACTCCTCAGACAAATGTCTGCCACCGAGACCAGGTCTAAGAAGCACTGCATTCACTACAGCTGAGGTTTTTATGGTGCTTCCATATACATTCCTCCATAACAAAAAAAAAAAAAAGAAAAAAAAAAAGAAAAAAATACTGAATCATCCCAAGCACTCTAGGGCTTAAATGTGTTTTTGTTTTGTTTTTTGTCCTGGTAAATTGCATTTGTTATTGCTTACCTGGCATTTTCATGCTGTCCTCAGCTGAGGGTCCTTTCTGGCTTAAAGTAGTCACTAAGGAAGACYAGCTGCACCTGAAGCTTTTTGCAACTGCATGGCTGTCTAATTTGCACTACCGAGCAACATCAGCTGCTGTTGCGAGTTTGCAGTCTTGTGCTGACAAGAATTGGCTGGCTCCATTTCTTTTTCTCAAATGTTTCTATCCATTCCAAACTAAAGTTTTGGAAAACCTCTGCATTTTGTCATATCTTTTGTGAAAACAACCCAATAAAGGAAGCATTCAAAATACATGACATGGTACCCAGTCATCAGGAGAAAGACACAGAATCTACCCAACTTGAACAGCTGATCAAGCAAAGGTATCAAACACTGTATCCTCCCAGGCATCCTAGCCAAAACCAATACAGTATCTTAGTGGAATATACAGACAATTTCAAGATTTATCAGGTCTTATAGAAAGCTACTTAGCTATCTTGAAAGTGAAAGAACCCTGCAAGACTTCTAAATTTGGGTCTCTAGCTACATCTAGTTTAGAGACACTTTCTCCTCGTTAAGAGCGATTCTGTATTAAGAGGAATGAGTTTCAAAGTCACCTCGGTCAACATYATTAGGCAGTAAGAAAGAAATGTGAAAGAAAGACATCATCTTAGGTGGCAAGCAGGTCTCCTACTGGCAATCTACAATAAAGGAGAGTCGTAGCACTTGGGAGTTATTTCTAGACCCAGGTTGGCTATCTTAACAAACACTTCACAAGCTTGAATTTCATCAGACCTGAGGATCCACATTGCTCATTGAATTTTGAAAGCTCAGGCTTTTCCTGGTCCGAATATAGTGCAGTTACACATTTACCCAAGGATWTTGGCAATGAACCAGTCTCCATTACTTGTACAAGCTTCAGAGAGCAACTCAATTGCTATCTTGGGCATTGCCACTGAAAGAATAGATGGACTACAATGAAGAGAAACAATCTGACAGAAAAATCCCTTTGTGCCTTACCTTGTAGTAGGAAGAACAGACGCTTTCGAACATATTTATATCCACACAGTCCATCAGTTCTGCCCTTTCCGATCAACAGCAGCTCATCCAGCTTCTTGTTCTTCTAGTATTTTACATTTGCCAGCTGGTGCAACCTGTAAATTTACAGAAGTGGGTGTGTTATTCCAAAATGTTTATCCATATCTCATTCTACAAGGCATTCAATTTAAGTATCTATGGCACCGTGCCATGTGGCTCCCTTTGCTCTCAAGGGCTTTCAGGGCAATGAGTTACTGACTGCAATGTTTCTGTAGGTCATTGATTTTTTTTAAAGATAAGGAAGTAGATGGGAGGATGCAGAAACAACTGTTAGGATTTCTTCACAAGCTTTCTATACATGCATATCTTACATGTTCCACACGTGTATATCTTACATATTTGAGAACATGTTCTTACCTTTTTGAAATTCAAACACTCAAAACTTTGAATTGCTGATTACTTTGTGATTGTCTCTGTTAAAGATTGATTCCTGTGGAAGAGGAATAAATTGCATAATTCAAATACCAGTTCAGGAACAGGAAGGCTATCATTTCTGAGAACTGGAAGCTGACAGGCCGTATTAAAGAAGAAAAAAATATTTTACTCATTCACTGTGCAAACAGTAAGACACTTAATCTTCAACTCAGAGTATGCTGATAGGTTGACAGAGTCTTTAGCAAGGTGGAAAACAAGAGAGGACAATGAGACCCTTCACAGAAACAACCATGAACAAACATGCCTGGGTAATATTTGTGTTCCTCAACTATGCCAACAAAAAAAGAAAAACTCTGAAAGAGTTTTTTTAAAATAAGTGTCCAAAAGTTGCCTGCAGCAGGGTGAATTTAGGAGGCCATTAGGCATATTCATTTAGATGGTTTCTTCTTTGTAGAACTACCCAGGGAACTCCAGAGAGATCCTTGAGCATGTGTTACTGCAGTGTCTGGATGCCACTAAGGTGAGCCCTAACGCCATGCCCCAACCAACACTACCTAGGAAGGGTCATAAGAGCAGAGCTAAACTTGCCTGCTCTGTGCCCAGCTCCTCCAGCACGCGCGGTGCGCACGAGCACGTCCGTGCTGTGAACACGGGCCCGGGCAAGAGGCAGCTCCCTGCGGTGGGGAACGAGAGGGGAACAACCSCAGAGCAGCAAGCACGAGCGGGCTGGTGAAAAACATCTGCAACTGTGGTTTTCTTGGTCGCTCACTGAGATTAATTACCCTCCTGATGCACAGGCTCTGTMCAAATACTGACAGAAACACGGAGAGAAATCAATAGGCAATCCCCCCTCTCAATCTGCCATTACGAACAGAACACTGCAACATCACAGTGTATTTAAACCACAGATGTATTCTATTGCTAGCCCTCTGTATATAGCACCCTATGATTATTTTACAGGGTTTGTTCTATATAATGAGACATCAAGGAATTTCTGTAGTTCATGTAATATAAACTCCAGGTTAGCACAATTCACAAAGCCTCTCTGAGTGTCTGGTTACATGTTAGGTACTTTACCGAGAAACTAAAGCAAAGGGAACTAAGTGTTGGAAAGATAACACACACCTCCATTAGCTACTGTCCTGGTTTCAGGTTATTTTGCCATGTGGATCTATAAAGGTATAAAAAGACAAAAATGAACAATGGAGCATTACCAATATATAAAAATGATTCCACAGTTCTCAGCTCCATTTATATATTACAATATAATATAGATATTATCTATAAATTTTAGTTCTGCTTCTTAAAATCTTCACTGAGTGAAAAGCAGACTTGCTAGCTTTTCTGTCTGTGTGTGTACATGTGCAAAAAGATTATTTTGGCAGCACTTCTCAGTCTTAAGCTACTCAGTTGCAAAACATGCTATATATCATCACTGGTTTACCAGCTTGATACGTACAACACGGATCACCCTTTTCAAGTCTTTGAATTTGAATACCACTGACCAGGACACATGGATGTGTATTGGGTGACTCCACTGCATGTGTACTGGGTGACTTTCCAGCCTCTGGGGACAAAGAAACGCAATCCACACCAAAAACACCCGGCAAGGAGCGCAGGCAGAGCACAGGCATCGCTCCACCGACTTTGATTGATCTATTTACAGCGGCTGTGGATCTGGACCAGTGACTTTATGAAGACAAAACTGCAACTATTTCTCAGGTATGACGGGTGCCCAGAGTAGATGTGCATTTCAAATCTGGAAGGAATTATGTGTAGTCAGGCATGTGACCATATATCATAAACCCCTCCAACGATCACTCTGTGCAAGCTCCAGTTTAGGACGCCTAAAACAAAACCTGCCTAAATGTTGTCCTGCTTCATCTCTGCTGGAGGACGAATTCCAGATTACGAACTGAATGTGAGTGATGCTGCGAGCGACTGCGTGAGGCTTCGGTCACCACTGGTGAGCCCATGTCTTCCCCTGACCCCTAGGAGGGTATTTGGTGCTGGCAGCTTGTCCTAAAACTCCCCTAAGGCGCAGCAGTGCTTTACTTAAAGAAACTTCCCAATAAAATCTGCCTTAACAGACAGAGCTTAATAAAGCAACAGGAGCTGCCAGCCAACTTTTTTAATGAAACCATACCCAAACTGCCAGAATTATGCAAGCACTGTTTAAAAGGAAACTGTTTTTAGTGCCTTTGGAAGCAGATATACCGTCCTCAGCACAGAACTCCCCTCTCCACACTCTCTCTGGTGATTCACACTAACACCACTGTTTTAGAGCGCCAGCACCCACTGCATTTTGTTGAAGTTACCGAGTGGGAGAGCACCTCTGGATCGATGTCCTAGCCTGAGGCCTTTCCCCAACAGTTATCATGAAGGTGGGACAAATCAGCTTGCTGCAACCAGTGTACTGGCTCCAGACACATCCACTCCCTGCACTCCTAGCTGCTCTTTTCTCTCTCCTCATTTTCTCTTCTTTCTCCCTTCTTGCTTGATTCTCTCTCTCCTTTTTGGTTTTGGTGTATGACACCTGTTTGTCCTCTCATCTACTACCCCATTAGATATTCTAGATCACAGGCTTTTAAGACTCCAAGTCCRCCTTGAAGAAATGCGACTCAGAAACCTATAATTGCCCAGGTGGGCTTCGGAGACCTCACCTTCCTCTCTTGCATGTCCCAATAGCTTCTTAAGACCCRCTGAATTTCCCACCTTTACACTCTAATGCTCCAGCCCTGAAAGGCACAAACTGTCATTGCTATGAAGGCTTGACAAGCTCAATGAATGCCAGGAGGACGGATAGTGTTGCCCTGCTCTGTGCTGCATCAGATGCAGCACTGCAAAGGGAGTCCTCCAAGGCTGATTTAAACCTGGCCTCCCCAAGTTCCCTCTATGGAGAAAGAGGGATTTCTCCATGGGGAACTCACTACACTACAGCATGGCCATGCTCTGAACAGATTTCTTCAGGGCTCTTGTTCTTACTGTGGATTATATAGAAGGCCTACAGAGAGCAGTGTCTGTGAATACCTCACCTTATGCACACTATGCACGCTTACCCAGTGTGAAAACCTGGGAAACTTTTGCAGAGCTTGGCGGGAGTTGATGGCAATATGTACCTTGCACTTACAGAAATCAACTGGAAAGAAAAAAGGCACCCATCAGGATCCCCAGACTGGGCTTGCTCCAGTGACTGGATGCAATATATTCACTAACAAATGACAGCAATCATTTTAGGAGATTGGAAAAGAGTTCTTTAAGTGAAATTTTCAATTAAAATAATTTGATAATAAACCCAATCCATAAAGCTCTTATTCACTGCTGCTCCTCCCTTTTCTTTCATGGTGATACCCCTCTTTGCCAGGCTGTATAGGTCGAGTCTCCACTTGGATGGYGAGCCAAACAGAGAGGGAGCCAATCTCCACTTCTCCAAGACACCTACTGCTGCTGGAGGGACACAAGCAGCAAGCTGAAACCCACTGCTACCTTTCTCTGGAAGCACTACTGAAAATAACCACATAAAGAAGCACTTCTTGAGAATTTCGTAGACCCTAACATACATTACCCATTAACAGCACTGTTGCTTGTAATAATAATAATACTTGGTTCATACAATGTCATATTCACCACAAGCTCTAAAAATATTTGATGAAGCTTAATACAGGCGTCTGATGACCAACCCATGCTGTGTTTGCTAGACCAGATGAYGGGACAGAGGGCACCATCAGCAAGCCTGCAGATGACACGAAACCTGAAGGTGTGGTTGAAACACCACATGGTTGCCCCTCAGAAGGAAGAAGAAAAACTACTTTATTATGAGAGTGGTCAAACACTGGGACAGGTTACAAGGAAAGATTGTGGAGTCTCCATCCTTGGAGATATTCGAAGCCTGGCAATGGCCTTGGGCAACCTGCTGTGGTTGACCCTGCACTGAGCAGGGAGTTGGATCTGACAAGCTCCAGAGATCCCTTTCAAACGCAGTGACTCTGCCAACAGAGCACGGCTCCCTACATTTTTACAGAAACATTGAGAGATGACAGAATCAACAAAAAACAATTCTGAATGGTGGGACAAGAGCTCTCCACACCTCATAGTTGGAATGGGTTGATAACATAATGAATCTGAAAAACAAACTAAAGGTTAAGGAGGTTCCTTCCTGGCAGAGTCAYGCAGCAATTCCTCTCGTGCCTTTCTCAGAAGGACAAGCTCAGTGGTCACAGCTGGTGGCAGCAAGCGCAGGGGTTCTGCTTGCAGCACTTAATGCTCTGCCCACTTGTGGCACTGCGTGATCCGTCTCTCCCTTCACATCACGCTCCCAGACACAAAGTGCCACAGCAGTTCTACTTAGCAAGGCTCTTCCTCACACTGCAGCACGCTCTGGATAAAATCTGCTTCCTGGTGCATAAGGAATGATGACAGAGAGCACGGGGAATTTCTTCCCTGTAATAAAGAACTGCTTGGATCTTCAGGCAGTGCTCAAGAGGGCTTTGCAAAGGCCAACAGGTAAATGTGCCAGCTCATGCTCTTCTCCGAGGGGATGCTATCTGCAAGGCAGAGGTCACGACGAGTGCCTTAACTATGAACTTCAGATGYTGTGCTCAGTAGGAAGGATGACCCAGAAACAAGCTGAGACGCGCATGCTCCTAGCCCAAGAAGGGCCCAGAGCCCAGCTCTTCGGTCAGCCAACAAATGGCAACTCGTAGCTCAGCCATCCCCCTCTCCCCTTATTGCAACAGCTATACTCCTATCTTTACACCATTAAAATCTATTTATTAACACCTCTAAATTCAAAATTCTGGTCTCTGCTACCTCACAAACATCAATTTTAGAGTGTTACAACAGGGTACAAAGTGGGCCCAAAATTACAGCCTGGTTTTACTCCTGATCTACTCCTGGTTGTAATAACTAAGTTTTCAATCAATGGGAAATTCAAATAAGGCACTTTTCTAAGCTAAAAACTTAACAGCAATGCTACTTAGATTTATTTTTATTATTACTATTTTGTATATTTGTTTTTATGTATTTACCCTCAAAAAGTTTTGAT